TGGCCTCAAACTCTTGACCTTAGGCTGATCCGCCTGCCTTGGCCTCCCAAAGTGCTGAAATTACAGGTGTGAGCCATTGTGCCCAGCCTACTTGAAGTGATTTTGTTTATAATAGTGGAGTTGGCCAAAAATAGAAGGGAAAAATCCAACTTAATGAGTTGAAGTTTTTCACAGAGACTACAATCCAATAAATTTATATGTAGCCTTTTTTTTTTTTTTTTTTTTTTTTAGGTTGCCAAGAATGATGGCTTTCAGTTTCATCCATGCCTGTCAAAGGACATGATTTCATCTCTTTTTTTTTTTTTTTTTTTTAAGATTCATCATAAACTGTATTATTTCAGTGAATAGAAGAGATTGACAGGAAAATGTTTGGAAGCAAACATTGGGAATATATGATTCTTTCTCTGTGTGTTCATTTATACCAGTATCCGTATACATTTACAAACGGCAAATGTAGGCACGTGTACTTAAACATTCAACACAAACCCATGTAATGCAAACACATGGAGAAAGAAACTTTTTTTTTTTTTTTTTTGAGACAAAGTCTTGCCCTGTTGCCCAGGCTGGAACGCAGTGGTGCGATCTCAGCTCATTGCAGCCTTGGCCTCCCGGGTTCAAGTGATTCTCTTGCCTCAGCCTCCCAAGTAGCTGGGACTATTGGCGCCTGCCACCAACCTGGCTAATTTTTGTATTTTTAGTAGAGTTGGGCTTTCACCATGTTGGTCAGGCTGGTCTCAAACTCTTGAGCTCAAGTGATCTGCCCATCTCAACCTCCCAGAGTGCTGGGATCACACGCGTAAGCCACCGTGCCCGAGCACAAAGACATGCTTTTTTGTTTTGTTTTGTTTTTTAATTTTTTGCTGCACAAGCCCAGAAAAAATGTTTTAATACCGTGTTTTAAAGGTTAGCTTTGAAAAGTGTTTCACTGTCACTTATACTCACTGAAAGAAAACAGCTTATATGCAGCATTTCTTATTAGACATATTTCCTACATGTATGTATGTGTTTTCATCTGTATAATCCTTTGAGCAATTCTGTCAGCTGCTTTACTGTGTCCATTTGGGATTTATTGACTTAAGGGCCAGACGAGACTTCAGAAGTTTCTGTAGATTGTTTGTACATTTTGGTACTTGTTAATATTTTCATAACATTTATTGAACAAGCATCTGTGAAAAGACTGTATTTCAGTGGCTTCTTCACTTTTCTCTCCACATAGCCACATCGATGTGACCAGTGCCCCCAAACATTTAATGTTGAATTCAACCTGACACTTCATAAATGCACTCACAGCGGGGAAGATCCCACCTGCCCTGTGTGTAACAAGAAATTCTCCAGAGTGGCTAGTCTCAAAGCGCATATTATGCTACATGAAAAGGAAGAGGTAATCATCATCATTTTGCATATACTTTGTTAAGTGATTGTTAAAATACATCTGGTCATGAGTCAGGAGGATTTTAACTATAAACTAGTTTTAAAAGCCTTTTGTGTAGATTTCAAGGAGCAAATTGTCATTAGATTTCCCTTGACTCCGGTTGACTTATAAAACATTTTATTTTCTGGCCCTGTCAATGCCTTAGGGTAGAGACATTTTAATGTGTAGTATATGTGAAAGATCAAAATATATCCACATTGGCTGGCAGAGGCTCCCCCTGTCCCCTCACCCCCCTCTCTTAAACAGAAACTTTTATATGATTCTGCTGTGGCCAAAGGTAACTTTTCTGCTTCTGTGCATGGTAGAATCTGCTTGCTTGTTCCTGGGTTCTCTGACCTGTGAGAATCTGAGGGAAGAGAATAATTTCTTGATGGTCCAAAGCAGCTTACACACCAAAGTGACCACTTCTGGGAGGTCCACAAGCCCAATGTCTAGGGCATCTTTAAGGATGACAGGCCCCAGTGCTGGGGCAGGGGCTCAATCTAAAGCCAATGGCTGTTACTTCAAAAATATGCTCCTCCTGGGCCGAGTATGGTGGCTCATGCCTGTTATCCCAGCATTTTGGAAACTGAGATAGGAAACTTGCTTGAGGCCAGGAATTTGAAACCAACCTGGGCAACATGGTGAGACTCCATCTCCACCAAAAAAAAAAAAAACTTTTCCAAATTTCCCTTTCCCATTATTACTGTAGAAAATTAGGGAGATACAAAAAGTTAAAGGAAAAAGTCACTTATAGTTCTGAGATAAACACTGATAAATATTTGGTATATTTTCTTCCTGAGACAGAAAAACAAACACAGTATTTAAATTACATATGCAGATGATCCCTGACTGAAGATGGTTTAGACTTTGGTTTTTGACTTTATGGTTGATGTGGAAGCAAGCACATTTCTCAGAAACCTTACATCTCTTGTCATGCTAGGGAGAGGCAGCAAGCCACAGCTCCCTGTCAGCCACACCCTTTTGGCTTGTGATATTTTCAATTCACCATGGGTTTATCAGGACATAATCCCATTGTAAGTCAGGGTGTACCTCTATAAAATTTACATTTTGAAAGCTGACTTCACACTTTATGTTCTTTCTTTTTTTTTTGAGATTGAGTTTTGCTTTTGTTGCCCAGGCTAGAGTGCAGTGGTGTGATCTCAGCTCAATGTAACCTCTGCTTCCTGGATTCAAGTGATTCTCCTGCCTCAGCCTCCTGAGTAGCTGGGATTACAGGTGCCTGCCACCACGCCTGGCTAATTTTTGTATCTTTAGTAGAGATGGAGTTTTGCCATGTTGGCCAGGCTGGTCTTGGGCTCCTGACCTCAGGTGATCCACCTGTGGTGGCCTCCCAAAGTGCTGGGATTGCAGGCGTGAGCCACCACGCCTGGCCTGACTTCACACTTTCTACATGAGTTTGGATCCTCTTTCTATCAGTGTCTTTAATTTTTATTTTAAAGTCATTTATTTTTATCTCTGAAAATCTTACAATACAAGTAATGCATTTTTTTTTGGAAAAAATTAGAAAACGTTAAAAGCACCCATAGTGGAGTTTAATGAAGTTGAATACATAGAAACAGCAAAGTGGTGATTACCAGAGGCTGGGGGATTGGGGTATTGGGGAGATGTTGGCCAAAGGCCACAATATTTCAGTTAGGTGGGAGGGGTAAATTCAAGAGAGCTGTTGTACATCATGGGGACTGTGTTAATAAGAATATATTGTGTGTTTGAAAATTGCTGGCAGGGCATGGTGGCTCACATCAACAATCCCAGCACTTTGGGAGGTTGAGGCGGGTGGATCACTTGAGGTTAGGAGTTCAAGACCAGCCTGGCCTACATGGCAAAAGTCTATCTCTACTAAAAATATAAAAATTATCTGGGCGTGGTGGCATGCACATATAATCCCAGCTACTCAGGAGGCTGAGGCGGAAGTATCACTTGAACCCAGGAGGCAGAGGTTGTAGTAAGCTGAGATCATACTACTGCACTCCAGCCTAGGCAACACAGCAAGACTCTGTCTTAAAAAAAAAGAAGAAAATTTCTGTGAGAGTAAATTTTAAGTGTTCTCTCCATAAGAAATACATAATGCATGTAACATAGGTTGATTTGGCCATTCCTCAGTTTATACTTGTAGCAGAACATTATGTTGTACACCATACATATGTACACTTTTACTTATCAATTCAAAAATCAATTAGTTAAATTATAAGAAAGAAAACGTACTGTGTGGAGAGAATGCATTGGTGGTATTTCCAACTTTTTTTCTATACATGCTTTTCTTAATAGTTTATGTTTAAAATAGTTTTTTAAATACAAAAATAGAATTATGCCACTGTACAGACTACTTTTGTAACCCACCTTTTTCCATAACATATTGTAAATAAATCCTCCCTCTTTTCACTCATTGTCAAAGTTATCACTCATTATCAACTGTTACTATTTTAAGCTATTAAAATCTGCAGTATCTTGGGCGGGTGTGGTGGCTCGTGCTCGTAATCCCAGCACTTTGGGAGGCCGCGGTGCTTCAGCCCAGGAGCTTGAGACTAGCCTGGACTACATGGACTGTCACTACAAAATAAAAGTCCTCAGCATCTGGATTTAGCATAATAAAATTTAATAATTTTCATCATCGCTTAACATATTGTTTATATTTTTAATATAAGTACTGTATCTTTGCATGTGAATATTTTTATGCATCTTTAATTATTTCTTAGGATAGATTCCTACAGTTAGATTAATTGAATTAATAAATATGACTTTTTTCACCCCAGTTCTTTATAGAATGCCATATGACAGTCTAGAAAGTCCATGCTAGAGTTCTTTTGCAGAGTTCTGCAAAGTTCAAGAATGCCTGTCTCGCTTATCGATAGTGCTATTAAAAAATGGCTATAGTCATATTTTTATTTTTATTGATTTTTGGGGGGAGAAGACTCATGCTCTGTCCCCCAGGTTGTAGTACAGTGGCATGATCTCAGCTCACTGCAGCCTCCACCTCCCAGGTTCAAGCGATTCTCCTACCTCAGCCTCCTGAGTACCTGGGATTATAGGTGTGTGCCACCATGTCCAGCTAATTTTTGTAGTTTTAGTAGAGATGGAGTTTCACCATATTGGTTCAGGCTGGTCTTGGACTCCTGACCTCAAGTGATCCTCCAGCTTCAGACCCCCAGAGTGCTGGGATTACAGGTGTGAGCCACTGTGCTTGGCCAGTTTTATTTCTTAAAAGCAGAACACGTATTAAATAATGGTATATCAATATGTTTTGGAATAAGTCCTATGTGCACATCATAAGAAATCAAACAGTAGAGAAGGGTATAGAAGGCCAAAAGTTACATATCCTTTGGGTTCCTAAGTTCCAGTTTTGCTCCCCAGAAACAACTTTCATTAGCAGTTTCTTCTGTAACCTTCCAGGGACATTCTGTGCCTGTACAAGTCTCTGCCATACCCCTATTAGTCAACCCATAGTATTCTGTGCCTTTTATCAGTTAACTGTGTATCTTAACTGTAATTCCACATCTGTTCATCAGAGAGCTGTCTCTTTCTTTTTAACAGATGTATGGTGTTATATTGTGTGTCATAATTAGTGAGTCACTGTTGTTAGGCATATAGGTTGTTTCCAGGCTTTTCCAGACAAAGCTATGGTGATCAAATATTTCTGCCCATGCTTGAGTTCTCAAGATGGGCAGTGTGGTATCCCAGAGGACACTGTGGTTGTCACTCTTGCGGGGCTGGGTGTGGGGTGCCTCTGCTATCTCGTGAGTAGGGGATTCTGCCAAACACCCTGCAGTGCCCAGCACAGCCTCCACTGCTGTGAGCAACCTGGCCCAGAACATCATGAGTGTGAGGTTGAGGAAACCCTAGGTTAATAGGAATGTGAGCTCTATTTCTGGAAATGAAGTTGTTAGGTCAAGGGATATGTGAATTCAAAATTTTGATATTGTCAAAGTATTTTCCAAAGAGATTTTATCAGTTTATTCTCCAGTCAATAAATGGTGTGTAAAAATGCCCATTTCTTCATACCGTTTTCTTCCTCTTTTAAACAATTATTACTTAAAAAAAAAAAATAGAAATCAGGTCTCACCATGTTGCCCAGGCTGCTCTTGAGCTCTTGGTCTCAAGTAGTGGTTGGATTACATACACGAGCCACTGGGCCCAACCCATACCATTTTCTTTCTTTTCTTTATTTTTTTGGGACAGAGTTTTGCTCTGCTGCCCAAGCTGGAGTGTAGTGGCACGATCTCGGCTCACTGCAACCTCCTCCTCCCAGGTTCAAGCCATTGTCCTGCTTCAGCCTCCTGAGTAGCTGGGATGACAGGTGCATGCCACCATGCCTGGCTAATTTTTGTATTTTTAGTAGAGACAGGCTTTCACCATGTTGACCAGGCAGGTGATCCATCTGCCTCAGCCTCCCAAAGTGCTGGGATTATAGGCGTGAGCCACCGTGCCTGGCTGGCCATACCATTTTCAATACTCTGTGTTGTAAAAGTTGTCTCCTCCAATTTGGTAATTTTAAGATGGTATGTCTTTGTTTTAATTTATAGTTCTTTAATTATGAGTGAAGTTTGGCATCTTTCCGTGTTCATTAGCCATGAGTAATATTTTTATTTTAATTAAACAATTGTTTTTGGAAGGTAGATGTGTGAGTATTATTCGTCTTACTCTTGCAGACTTTTGTAAAGTATTTACATTCCTGGAAAGAGGTTTTCCTACCTTGTGTGACAGAATTCTTTCCTGGTTTCTGGTTTCATTATTTTTCTCTTCCTGGCAGGAATTTTTAAATTGTCATGGACTCAGATTTTCAATCCGTTCGTTTATGGATTCTAGTTCTTGTGGCTTGAATAGAAATGCTTCCCAATTCTAAAATTATTTTCTAAAATATCCCACATGTCTGGAACATTCCATACGGATTTGCCTGGTATAGATTTACATGCATGTGGAGCAGAATGCGCATGGAGGAAAGACATCCACAC